GGGTGGGGGTTTCTTTGGGTCTGTTGTTTATTGTGTTTTTTTTTGAGGTGGGGGTGTTGTTATTTTTCGAGAACCAGAGTTTTGTTTTGTTTTTTACCGCAAATCCGCCTCTGGAGGTTCATTGTACCTGCTGGTCTTCCACGCTGAAATTTCAGCCCCTTGAAATGAAATGCGGAAACCCTTTGACAGCTCAGAGCTGAACATAGAATCGCCCAAATGGTTTTCATGTTTTCCTGATGATGGTTGCTGTCTTTGGATGCCAAAGAAGTGTGTGACTAAGCGCCGTGGGGGTTAGCTACGACGTTAGGCAACTATTTTAAACACAGGGAAAATTCTTAGTATATCGTTGAAATTTTGCTGTGGGACGTGTGTAGCAGATACGGCCATTAGTTTTAACCTTAGGTCTTGATACTGTGTTAAGCCGCCTGGGAGGATCACCTTTTCCATTGATTTTATGAGAGATTTTAATGGAATACAATACCATATTCAGTGAAAACATTGAAGAACAGTAAAATGAGTATTTTTTTTTTTCTCTGACATAAAAGTTTGTCTGTGCTCACTCACTACTGAGAAAAGAAAAGCTTGGGCTCCCAGTTAAAAAAAAAACGGGGGATTTTTTTGCTGAATCTGTGTGTAAACATTATGTTAGAAGTCTATCTTTTGTGTTACACACTTACGGCCTTGGCTCCTTTGCAACATCCTTTTCATTTAAATCCCTTTTCGCTGGTCCAGCACATCTACTGATTCACATTTTTAGCTATGTACCTTTCTTCCTCCTAATTTCCATCTTGAATACTACTTTTTCTCTGTATGCTCCAGCTCTTTTCTAAATGCATCAGCAGGTTTAGATGTGCCATTGCTATCTCCCTCCTCCCCATGCTGTTCCTCAAAGAACAGATGTTAGGCTTTAATAATGCCCAGTCCGGAGCATTTAACCACGCTGCCTTTTCTTGGTTCCTTGCTTCACGTTTTATTTAAGGCTGTGCATGTGTTTTGCAACTCTTTTGTTGCAATTTCCATGCTGAGTCTAAAGATTTTATACCATTTCATGTAGGGTCTTGCTGACTGGCTTCCTCATTTTTTTTTAAATCCCCTTTTTATAGTTTGGTTTTGCATTCTTCTCATTTTCATGACTTTTCCCCGTAGGTTAATCCATAGGTAATTAAGTTATCATTGCAGTTACTTACATCTTATCCATGTTACTTCAGTAATTTCTTTTAAATGAGTCTTGTATCACCACATCTTCAGGCGTTCTGACTACTCCTGATCATTTATTTTCTGCACAAATATCTGAGCTGTGGAAAACCTAAGTACTGCAGTCTGGGGTGAGACTGCTTTCCCACTTGTCTTTGATGCATCCAGTACTTAGTGACTGGAGAAGATCACAGAAAGAGGGCAAGTACAATGCTGTCTCACACTGTCCTCCCAGCCTCTGGGAGTTGATGATTCAGTGCAGGACTGAGGCAGATGTGGAGCCTTTGTACTTTTCATTCCTTAAAAATTTTCCAGTGAACGTGCTAATCAGTTTTTTTGAACTCATAAACTTTTATCAACAACAACATCCAGGGTCAAAGAGGTCTGTAACTTAATTACATGTTGCGTGCAGAACTACCTTACTTTGTTAACTTTGAACATGCTGCTTGCTAGTTTTTTCTGACGCCGTCCCGGTCTTGTGTTAGAATAGAGGTGCACGGTCACTCCCTGTTCAACTCCCACAGGGCACTCCAGATATTGTAGATCTCTCCTCTGCCTTTCAGTCCTGTTGACCTTTTTCTAGGGTGCAGATTCCTTACCTATTCACCCCTTGTGTGGAAGCTGTTCCACCTCTTTGATCAGCCCTGACATTTTCCTCTGTACTCTTGTTGAACAGAGAGAACTCAGAGGTACTGAATAATTATTTCTGTTCCACTGTATGCTTTTTGAAATGGGGTAAAGTGTTCACTGTTCTCCGTGAGCCCTTCGTGGCTGCTGGAAAGCTGCAGGAAGGGCAGGCGGGTGTTTGCCCTCACACACCTTGTTCTGCTTGTCTTCAGACTTCCTGCCTGGATGCTTCCTGCTGTCAGTGGGACAATTTTTGCCCTTCAGACAATAAAGCTTTAACTGTATGCAGGAACCTGGGAGTGCTTCCAAATTCCCAGGCCTGGCTGTGCCCTCTGGCTACATCCCATCCTATATTGCAATGAGATCCAGCATGCATCAGCATGACTGCTGTCTTTGCTCTCTTGTTTCCATGGGAGGTAAACCCTGGGCATATAGCCCATACAGGAGCTGTATGGGCTGCTGTAGTATGCACCACAGGTAAGTGTTCACTGACCTAAGTGGTAAACAGAAGGATTATGTTTCTGTGCACCACCTAGGAGGAGACCCTCGACCTTGAGGGCAAAGGGATTTGTAAGGCTTCCATTTGCGGCCCGCAATAACAGGATCTCTTGACAAAAGGTTCTACAGCAGAACTGAGGAGCAGGGAAGCCTGTAGGAAATGTGGGCTTGTAGATACAAGAAGTCTAATCAATAAATCAATAGCATTGAGTAAAAGTTAATTTTGAAAAAGAATGGAGACCTGGGATTCCATCTGTCAAAAAAAACAGACCACTTGCTTGAAAGGAGCCATGTTAACATGATGACCAAAGCATCAGAAAGTTGGAAGTTAATCGTCTGTTAACTTCAGTTGCAATACTCTACAGCAAGTTAAAAAAATTGCATTTGGGTGAGTGATATTAGGTATACAATTTTAGATCTGCTTTGTGTTTGTTGTGTCTTTTCAGATGTAATATTCTCAAAAACTTTAAAGCTTTAAACCTTTGGTATATATCAATAACATTTAAATCCAGCTTAATAAAATAAATTAGCATGAGTTGGTCCTTGTGGAGATGGGTCTTAAATGTAATCCTAAACTCAAGGGGTCCCAGGATCCTGGGGCAGTTCACATCTACATCTTGCGCAGGCATAACTTCTTCTTCAATTATTTTTCAGCAGCTATGAATTAAGTCTGCATGTTATCTTTAGTTGTCTTGCTAGTAGAGGAAGAAGCACCTAAAAGAATTGGCTTTAACATGTATTTTCTGTGAAAAATGTTTATTTGCTGTAACTCTGACTCCAAAAAAGTGTTTTATTATACAAAGTTTAATATTTATTTACATTCACATAAAGACTCCTTAGTTCACAAATGGGCTTCTTGGTTTTGTTTTAGAGACAACGGATTTTGTTCCCTGCTGCATTTCTGGGCTGACAATCCTCTCCTTTTATAGCACAGGTAGAGCACAAACACGGTCAGCATAAACTTCCTCACACTTCCTTGTCCGCGCATCTTGGCCTTGGCCTGAAAGGTCACTTCTGCAAGCACGAGCAGAGCACAGCCTCTCCTAGCCACGCTCCGGAGGTTGTCAACGAGGGAAGCACATTAATTCATTAAGGAAGAGCTCTGGTTTTTTTGTGTTTATTCCCTTAACTGACAGAAAGGCTTTAGCATTTTCGATGACAAACAAAGTGCTATTCTTAGCATTCTTTGGCTTTTCTTCACTTCCTAATCAGATTCATTTTTTTCTTCATCAACAGGATTCATAGATATTTTATTTCATATTCCCTAGTGCTGGGCAGCCGGCCAAATGCTGGGTTCTCTTTCTATCAGCCACACACATACCATCCCCACTGGGTGGGTTTTGCAGTGGTTGCTTATTCTTCTGCTGCTTTTTGCGCTCCACAGCGGTACGCAAGGCCTGAAGAATCAAATCTTTGTTGTTCTGGACGTTGTAGTGACTTAAGTTCACCAGTTTGTCAAAATCTTCCTCTGAATAACTCAGATTGTTTATGTAATATGGACCACAGGTATTTGCAACATCAACGTCACCTGCTGCCATCTCTGAGGGACTACGTTTCACACCTAAGGGACAAACAATGACTCGGGTAATTAGCAAAAAGTGATTAGGGTCTGGGTGTTTCTCAGGCATGCACACATAGTGGACCACAACCCAAAATTTTCCCACCACAGGCATTTTATTGCTGGGATATTTGTTTGGCAAGGTGGGGTGGAGAGGGGAGTTAGGGGTTGTCCTGGGTACTCTTGGAAATGCCAAAACAAGTAGAGTAGCTCCTCTTTTGAGCACAGGAGGGTGAGACTCCCTGCCTCCTCCTCTACCTCTGGGGTGAGCTGTCAGCATGGTCCCCAAGTCCCCCTTGGCACTGGTGCTGTCCCAGCCTCCACCTTGCTGCTGTCTCCCAGCCATCGCAGCACCCTACGCTTCTAGCCAAGGTGCAAGTAAATGGCAACTACTCTTTTTCTCTTTCCTCCCCTTCTCCCAAAGCAGACGACTACAGCAAGGACCTCATGACAGCATGGTTTCTTTCCAGGTGATGGGCCTGAAGCCACTGCCACTTTCTGTGCCTTCCATCTGCAACTCTACATCATTTTATTTTCCTCACTGCTATGCTTTCATGCCTTCAGAAATAGACTGCTGAAAATCCATGTATTTCAGTGATTCAAGCTTCCTAAAAGCACACCTGCCTTCTCAGCGACCTGACAGATATTCTTTCACCCAGCACAACCTGGCACATCCCCTAGGACAATCAACTACATCAACTCTTGGTTCCCACTGGGAAGAATTATCAAAAAATACAGAAATCAGACATAAACAACTAGATTCTACTATCTAAACTGAAAGACTTCACACAGCCATTATCTGGACATATCCCAGAAGCAGATGGCACAAATATTTACTGTAATTTCCTTGAGCTACCTACTACCATAAAAAACTAGAGGCTTTACGTCACCTCAACAGTGAGAGTGAACCTGATATTCCCTGAATCACTTAGATGTGCCAGGGATACTGAAAGAACTTTTCATGCCCGTTTCATCACCCCAGGGTAATCAACATATGCATCACGGATCCAGGCAAAATAATTAGGCAGGTAGTCCCACAAGTGTCATCTCTGGAAATATTACATCTGTCATATCGTATGATCTAAAGACAAATTAAATTATTTATTTTAATTCATCTGACAGTAGAAACCAGATCCAAAACTAATGCAGAAGTTTATTTGCAGGCTATCACAGAGAAAATATTCCTAGGGGCCTCCACAGTAAGGCTGCTCATACAGGGAGAAAAATACCCAAGGCCTACCATATGAATTTCAAATCTCAACAACTTCATGGATGCAGAAGATTTAAAATACATCATCTCACTTGTTTTTCTAGGACCTTGTAGCAG